CCACAGAGAGGCATGGTGACCATTGAAAAATGTGGTTTCTGTGAGGGTAGAATTTCCAGGAAGGATGGGGCACGTTTTACTTGGATGCTGCAAGAGCTTGTCATTAGGGTTGCCCATGTTGCTTTTCTATTCAGACTCAGCAGAGATGTGAACTATCTGTTCTGCCAAGGAAGGAAGGAAGGAAGGAAGGAAGGAAGGAAGGAAGGAAGGAAGGAAGGAAGGAAGGAAGGAAGGAAGGAAGGAAGGAAGGAAGGAAGGAAGGAAGGAAGGAATAGAGAAAACCTAAGAATTACTTAATTGCTTGCAGGACATGAAGAGACTGGTTTCTGGAACAAGGCAAATAAAAGGATGCTTGAAAAAAGGAAAGTCTGAGTCTCAGTCTGTTCCTCCTTCAAATTCCTTTCCACAGAGAGGCATGGTGACCATTGAAAAATGTGGTTTCTGTGAGGGTAGAATTTCCAGGAAGGATGGGGCACGTTTTACTTGGATGCTGCAAGAGCTTGTCATTAGGGTTGCCCATGTTGCTTTTCTATTCAGACTCAGCAGAGATGTGAACTATCTGTTCTGCCTGTAAAAGTCAAAAGGAGTTACAGTTGTTGATGCAGCAGATGCGGGTTAACAAAATATGCAAAAGCAGAACACATAGGGGAACCCATGTCTCAGTCCAGACTTAATGGCAAAGCTACACAATTCCTGAATTTCCTGTGGGACCAATCCCATTTGATTGACCCTAGAGAAGCTCTTGTGATTTCAGCATGTTTTTGCCTGGTTTCCATCCTTGCGCATGAAATATTTTCATTAAGTCTGTGTACAAATTTAACTTTCTATAGTGAAATCTGTGTCAGACCGGAGGGCTGGCTGCAGGTTAACTTCAACCTTCACAAAATAAGCATTGCTCATTTTCAGTCCCAGTGCAGGGTGGGACATATAGTCACTTCTGTTGGTTTGCTGCTTAATGAAAAAAAAAGTGCATTAATGAAAACCGTGAATTATAAAATCTCAATCTTTACATTAATTAATTCTCCTTCACTGGCTTGAAGTTTTAGGCACTTTTCCTTAAAGAGCAGGATAAATTTAAAAGCTGGCTTCTGAACTCATTAAGGCCAGTATAAATAAGAAATCACTGCTCATGCTAATGAAAATACACTAATGTATAAATTAGCAAAAAGTGATTTTATTTCACTTAAACTGGTTTTTGATGTATTATGTCTAGTTCCACTCCTTCCTTACAGTTACCTTGCAACGGGTGTTGCTGTGCATTGCACACTTGCACAATATGTAAGACTATTAAATAAATAGGGGTACAACAAAAATATGAAGTTTCAGAATATTCAGGAAATCATCATTTCCTGGAGCTGAATAAACATTTTAGAAAAAACTCACCCAGCAGGAAATGGAGCTATCTGAAGTGGCCAGTAGGTTCAGAGGATGTGGGAAGGGGTTTGTTCAGAGGCGTTAAATAAACAGGGTAAAATGCCTTGGGAAATAGTTCCCTTTATTTGCTTTCTTGGCTAACAATGCTCATTTTACATTCAGCCTTCAACACAAGAGACACAAACAGGCCCCATGCAAGATTATGAAGCTGAGCGTAAACTGATACACAGTTTTCCTGGTTCTGCAGGCATCCTGAAATGATAGCTAAGGGACATCATGCTGCCCTGCTCAACTCCTGAGCATGCTACCTCTGTGTACTTAGGATTTGGGAACTTAACATTTATCAAATAAACCATTTCACTGCTTTCAAACTTAACAGGTCCACTTATCTCTTGGCAAAGCACCAACTGACCTCCAAGTAACAGGAAATGATACAACCGTATGTTGATAGAAAAGCCTGTGGCACATCAAAACCTGCTAACTGGGAGACAGCATAAACCCAAAAGTCTAAACATCAGAGTGACACAAAGGAGGAGAATGTGCATCATTGTATTCATGCTTAGATCTTCCATCTTCTATAGCCTTCTGACTTAATACATCTGTGAAACTGACAGCATTTCATGGGTGCTGTACTAGAATGTCACAGAATATGAGGATCATGCTGCAGTTTTCAAGTCCAGCCATGCCTTAGGAAAACAGGGGTTTCAGTCCAGGCCCTTGAGGCAGAGTCAGATACACCATGATAAGCACAATCTATATATAACTGTTAATTGTTTTTTCTCCTGTTATTCTCCCTCCATGCTTTAATTTGTGCTGAGCTTTCATTTCCTCCATGAGACTGCTAGAGAGAAATGGATGATCTTAAATTCTCCGTGTGGCCTTGAACTGGTCATCATGAGCAAAGTTTCCTATGGATTCTACATCAGTGTCATTCCTATACCCCAGTAAAACCAATAGGTTAAATGGAGTTAGACAGTTAACATGTATAAGGAGATCAAGCTGAGGGGAAATATGAAATATGTATTTGCAACTTTATGGGCCTAAACAGCTTAATAAATGCATCATTATTTTCCATAGGTCTCAGTTGCTGATGTTTGAGATTGAGTTTGGGATCCCTTTGTGCCAGTGGAACACATGAGGACTTCTGGAGTCTATGCTGTCCAATGCTTGGCACCCTGGATAAGCAGCAGCAACTTTTAATAGAATACTAATGGCAGTGATGTCATCCAGACCTGCATTTCATAGAGTCTCTGAGGATCAAGAGAGCCGTCTTTTCCAGGGTTGTGCCCCATTATAGGAATTGTCATTTATGGAGCTTCTTGAGAAGGGATGAAAGCAGGGACAAGAGCAGACATTTTTCTCTTCCGGAGACATGAAGAGGAGGGTCAGAAATAATGGAGGAGGCAGTGGAGAAGCACAGTGAGCGAAGAGCTAATGGGTGAAGAAAAAAATTAAGGGAGAGTTTAAAGCAAAATAAGCCAGAAAAGATACATTAAGGACTTTGAGAAGAAGCAGAAGTAATATTTAGAGGACTAAGAAAAGGTGGACCGAGAAGAGAGCGAGGGGAAAAATATTCCAGTGGGTGCGATAACAGAACTCTGATGAGGCTTCACACACTTCAAACAAAAAATATGGGCCCCTCCCCAACAAAACTGGGCTTCTACTGCCAGCAAAATTATTTCCACAGCTGAGACTGCAATGCCAGTGAATGTCTGTAATCGGCCCATCCAGGTGCTCTGCGATACAGGCAGCAACAGACTCAACCCATCAAAGTGATGGGAATAAATCTGAGGGCCAGGAACGAGTATGTGGGCCCCTGCTTGGCTGCTGCTGTGCAGAAACGAGAACATAAGTAGCCAAAAAAAGACACATTTAAGGTATAACTCAACAAAAATAAGAAACAGACCTTTTGATAGCAGACATGCTAAAAAATCAAGTTTGGGGAACTTGAACCAGCTATGCTGCAGGAGGGACAAGGACTCTGAAAGCTGATGTAAGAGCACTATATGCCAATTTGCAGAGGATACTGAAATTCCATCTATTTAAATTTTTAAATTGGACTTATGTTGGTAAACTCTCCCATCTGAGCTTTTTATTAATATCATACAAGCTAAAGCCTGCAAAGATTCAAAGTCTCTTCAGTTTTTCTGATTATGCAGTTAGCTTCTGGCAACCCAGAGAACACCAGCATGATTTCTCTGGTAGGGCCCTGAGCTCAGCAGGCAAGTGCAGCAGCATCAATGGCCACTCCACCACCAGCAAGCTGCAGCTATGCTTCCCAGACACTTAGCAGAGCTGAGGACAGGGCACTGAGCACTGCCTGTGCTGCGAGTAGCTTTACTGACTTTTAGAATATTATTAATCCAGTGCAAATATGAGCATGACAATTTGTTGTGATGGGAAAGAGAGAGATATTATCACCAGACCTATTTTTTCAAGCATGGTTCCAACACATTGAGTGCATTGTGTAGCAAAAGTAGGTGAGATTTTCTATAAACAAGACAGCAGCCTGTCTTGTTGAACATCTCCCCATGAATCTGTACCAACAAATGATAAGACCAGGCTGGAAGGTGCTTTCTGGGGCACCACATTAAAGTCAGTGCTGTTGCAAGCAACCACATCATAGGATCTCTTTCATAACCACTAAATCACTTATGCTTACTAGGGCATCAGAGTGTTATCTTACAACTATGTCAAATATTCGTCTTTTTATCACTGCCATGCAGAGGGTTTTGTGAAAGAATCCAGTTCTTGGACTGAAGAGAGAACAACATGGCTGCTACTGGATCAGCTTGTCTTGGCCCCTGTCTGGTCTTTGCTTGCACAGGACTTAGATGTTAACTTCATAGATTTAAACTCACAATCAGATCCTTATATGATTTAAAGTTATGGGAGTATTCCACACCGGCAAAACTGAATCAAAGCATTGCTCTGTTGGACAAAGATAATTTTAAAGATAACCACCCGCTTTACCAGGAGGCTTTCCACAGTCAGCAGCTGAATGACTCCAAGCTAATGTAACTGGGCTCCCACACAGTGCTCAGCATGTGACCAGCAAGATCCCTGCCCTCGTGTTAGGGCAGGGACAAGACTGGGTCATGAAGAAGCTCACCTCATGAGGAGATGGTGGTTCCCCCAAGGCTCCTCAGTGTTCCATGTGATGCTAATGCTATCCTCTCTCAGTTCACTGCTTGCCTGGGCTGGCCTCTGCTTCAGCTGTGAGGGAAGAGACCCAGGAAACTGTTTCCATTACTTGCTCTGTCTTTAATTCACCAGCGTTGAAAACTCTCGCAGGAAAACACCCTCCTGCAACTACATCAGCAGTGCCACAAAGCTAAAAGTTTGCAACATCACCAAGAAGGGGTTAATTTAAGCAAACAGCTGGGCGGTTTTACAGGAGCACCAGGGGGTCTAAGTCTCCAAGCATCTCATCTTGTGTTTTCTCACTCCACCTCCCTGAAACCAGTTTGTGAACTCCCCCAGGCAAGAGCCAAAGATCTGAATGGGTTCAGACAACAGCCTAGCATGCTTGAGGATGTCATAAATTAAACGTGGGTAGGAAAATGCCCTTTGCCTGCTTTCAAATCTGCCCTAAACCAGCATGCAAAGTCAGTCAAGACACCTACTTGACACTGATTTTGCAGCCCTCTTGATTTCGGGCTTCCTTAGCCACTGGCATCTCTGCTTGCAGGCCAAGGGTGCCAGCATCAGCCCTCTCCCCTGGGTGAGGCAGAGCAAAAGTGATGGTCCAGTGCTTCCGTGCAAAGGAAGAAGTGAGAAATCTCCCTCTTCGAAAGCCCAAATTGCAGCCAATGCAAAGGCAGTGAGTGAGTGACCTGTCTCCTGGGGAAGTTCAAATCCCCTGTAAAGGAGAGAAAATAAAGGAAAATCTACCATCAGCTCCCAAATGAATTACATATCTCCTGGGAAGAACACAGCATATTTATTTTGGTAAATCATTAGTCACAAAAAAAACGCCCAACTTACTGTATCAGGTTGGCTGGGGAATTTCTGAAGTTTGACCAAATTCAATAAGCAGTTTTTGCCAAAACAAATTAGGACTATGGTTTTTTAAGTGTCAGAAACAGTTTGTTTAGACACTTTCTCAACATAAGACCTTCACATTTTTGAAATATTTAACTTTTTGGGTACTCATAATGAAGGTCATGTAAATAAAGGTATGTTGGTGGTAGTTAACCTTCTACTCTATAGCACAGTATTAATGGCCTCAGATGAAATATTAAAGTTGCAGGTTTGATTTCTCCCTCTGGTTCAAGGAGCTGCACCCTCATCCCAGAAAACAGGACTGGCCTTCAGTCAGTGCCAGCATGTTCCTGCTTTCATGGATCCTTGAGGATCTTCTGCAAACTAGCTGTCCTTTCTGATTAAAAGACCTGACTTGAACTAAAGTCTTCTACCTTTTTGGAGGAGAGTAGCAACTTTACCAGCTGATGGTCCTTCTCAGTTTTTCCCAGTACTCTGCCAGCCTCTGTCAAGGCTGAAAATGTTCCAAGGAGGAGAGCACTGCTGGGAGGGGAGGATGACCGATGCACAGGAGGGAGTCCCAGGCTGGGCAGGCAGCCAGCAGAGCTGCCTACATCAGCACATCCCACGTTCCCTCATATCCTGGGCAGAGGAATAGCCAGGGGTTCCTTTTGAGTCCAAGAGATGCCCAAGCTGCTGTCAGCTTTATGAATCTAGAACTTGATTTTCTTGGCTTCTACTTCATAACTCCAAGAGGAAAATGTTCTATTACTTTTTATGCCAAAGTTTTGGTTTGTTATTTTTTTATGTTCTTTGCACATAGGGGGAAAATCCTGATGGTGGGAGAGTAGAACCCAGTCTGCATTACTTTTTTAAAAATTTCAATTACTTTTCAGATCAGGCAATTAATTTATTAGTTGGTTATTTACACAGTACACCCTCAGTGTCCCTATTTCTCCCATTTCCATTTCATTTAGATGCTGTCTTGGTGAGATAGGCCAGTGGTTTCCATATTGTCTCAGACTTCTCTCTGGCACTTTCTGTCTAGCTTGGTTCTTGTCAGGGACCACATCACTGAGCTGCAGGGTGCCTGAGAAGACCAGCTGTCTTTTCAGTTTGGATAAGGCAGCAAGGAGGTCTAATTGTCCCCACATCCCTAGAAAAAAATTGAAAACGTAACCTCACTAACCCCTAGCCTCAAAATCTATTTTATACATCACCATCTGCATTTCTAGTAGATACAGTGGAAAATAAAGAATCTGTTTGTTTGACATAAAAAGATTAAGAACCCAACATAATTTTCCGATTTTACATTTTGTAACATGCTTCATTGTATAGCTGAGGGAGAAATCAGCTGAATTTCCCTCATGCCTGACCATATGATCAGGAGGCAGCTGCTGCGGATACAGTTCTGCAAGGACCTCTTTTGAAGTCAGAAGTCAAAAAGACTGTCAGGGGTTTAAAAGCCTTTTTAATGTGGTCTCTTTTCTGTGTGGAGCAGAGTCCACACTTAAAGGGCTTTCTATGTGCCTGTGAGAAATATGTTTCTTGAAACCCATTTTTCATCCCTGCCCTACAAAATCTGTAAAAGCTCAGACCACTCAGTAGATCCTCACATGCTTCAAAGTGTGCTCATCTTAACCATGGTCCTGTGAGGTCCCAAAACCAACAGCAGTTTAGTCTGGATCAGATAACACAGGTCACGGTCTAAAGGCTGAATGTAAATATATATCATAAATGTAACAAAGACTCCTTTTTCTCCTTATTCCTTCAAAGCCAAGGACATCTACTCTGCACTGAACTGATTTTACTTGTCATGGGCTAACCTCATTATATCTTCATTTTGGGGCCACCATTCAATATGAGTGCTCCATGCCCCTGGCAGGTACCAAGCTTGCAGTGGTCCAGCAGGACCAGGTCCCCACATCCCTCTGATCACAGACCACAATCATCAGGGGCAGGGCAGGCATAGCTGTGCTCTAAATAGTGACTTATCAGGGAAAGTCCAGCAGACATTGCCTCAAAAAGGGCAGAGGGGTGCCTGACATGGTAAAGTTTGCTGCCGTCTCTGGTCATGACATATCTTGTAGGATCCATGTACATGGTGTCTCTGAGTAAGGCCTTGTCTTTCTACCACAGCTGGGACACGGCTGTCTTGTGCCAAAATACCCACCAGCAATGTACGTGCACACTCCACTGGGCCTGCCACATTGGTGGGGTCCACCACATTGGTGGGGCCTGAGTGGTAATGGGAATCAGGTGGCTGCATTCCCCTCCTTTAAGCTTCAAGTAACAATGGAAAGTGTGTGTGGGTCTGGAATTGCCAATTTTATCCCCTCCTCAGTCAGTTTGCCTCCCAGTGTAACATCTCGGGTTGCTGTGTATCCCTAGGTGACAAAGGGAAAAATAGGAAAAGAAGGGAAGAAGGATAAAATCCAAACAGTTTCTGGAACAAATTTCAGTCTTCACGGTCCTGTCACCCAGTCTGAGCACAACAGTTGAAGTAATTATGCAACCATTTTAAAATATCACAGTGACATATGAGGTAATGCCACTTTCTGCACAGGCTCCTTCGGGAGCTGCCAGGCTGCCGTGAGCTGCCTTGCTGTCATCAGTGTGTTAGGAACAAGCACTCATCTGCCTTCATTTTCACAGGGGAACAGGGGTTTCCAGAGCCCAGGCAGAGAAACTTCCTTCTGATGTGAAAGTCCCCTTCGTTTCTGGATGATGCGTTAACAAAAAGAGGAGTTGCTGTGATTCTGATTTGGGAAAACATTTGTTGTCTGAATGTTTCACAGATCAAGTCCTTCAAACTGGCTGAGAGCTGCTGTGAGAGTGTGCTCAGCCATAGGGAAGCATGGAATAAGGTTAGACATGAAATGTTTTTGTAGCCTGATTGCTAACTCCTCTCCAGAAATTATGCCTAAAGTCACACAGAGACTCTGAGAAAGCAAACTACAAGTCTTCTTTTACTAGACCAAATAGTTGTTATTTTAGCATTTCTTTCACAGTGAGTACATGAAACAAGCAAAGCCTGACTAATCCCACAACCTTCTCTTCAGCTCCAGTTATAAAACCACACAACACAGCAAGTCTATCATGTTCCCCCAGACTTGAGAGGTACGAGGAAACTGTCCATTTTCCCCTCTTGCATGGTATGAGAGCCCATCACCCATGTCACTTACATCTTTATTCCTAACTGTTTCTTCAAATGTGGCCTAAGCCTGAAGCTTACATGGAGTGCTGAGGGCTAGCCATGCTTGGGCTGTGCGTCAGCAAACCC